TGGTAACTTTTTTGTTGGGGTTGCAATTTTCATCGCATCCGCGATCGAGCATTGTTCGTTTAATAATGAATTAATTATTAAAACAAGTGAGTAATTAAATGTTTTATGAAGGCCTATTTATACACATGAAATAAATGTGAGGAATGAATAGTCACCATAAAATTAGGTAAATCAGGGGATGTAGTGAAAAAAGGGCCTTAGGCTTAGGCCTAGGCTAGCCTATTGTCAGGGTGATCATCGGGTGAGAAAACACATTCTCGTGCCGCTAGCTAGGGCATCCGCCCTTGATATCGTGGATCAAGCCTTGCTATACCTCTGTTTAAAACTGTTATTTATTTGTACATCATCGTTGCATTTGGCAAATTGCCTGAGCAGGCCTGACACCCCTCTTCTCCCGGTTAACGACTCTTTTGACACCTAGGCTAGGCTAGGCCTAGCCAGGTAGATCCCAGCCAACAGCGAAAGGTCACTCAGTGTTTTCTGGAAACTTTTTATTTTGTATACAGTATTTGACTAAAGTTTTTTTCACATTTCCTTTTTCAAATATAAAACAAGGGAACATTGTTCTCTGGTAATAAAACAATGGTCGAATAACTCCGCTCCGGCCTACGTACGTGTCCTACGTCGTCGTAGTCGCCTTAAAAAAACGAAAACAGCTCTTGGTGTAGTACGCGAACAGTGTCTTGGCGTTGCCGTCACGGTCCATTAGTTCGTAGTAGACTGGCCGCGTAGTCAAAACGAAAAATGCCTATTGACAATCAGCAGACGGCAATGGGTCGTCTATCACTCGCCGGAAGCAGAGGTGGTTACTTCTGCGACGGTCGTACGACGCAGTGAGTGCCAGGCTTAGGCCAACGAGAACCAGAGACAGTGTCAGAACAAAGCAAGACATATAAAAATAAAATAAATTGTGCGGCTTATGTAGTAGTTGCTGGTGGAGCCGTTTTAGTCGTGACCGGAATTGAACCTACTGAGGAATTAAAAGGCAAACATCTTCCAAGCTATATCTAAACTAGATTCCTGATTTCTGAGTACTCAACAGACATTGTTTTTGTAGAGGCTACTCCAAAGTGCTAGAGTTTATCTACTTAGAATAGCAATGACAGCAATTGACCATACTAAAAACAGGACATTTAACTTGTGTTCTTCAAACGTTTTGACATTTTCTCTTCCAAATATCCGATTTTGCCCATTTTGGAAGCGCTCCGTCAGTAACCTTATTTCTTTAAACACAGACATGCCTAACTAGGCTCTCACTGAGAATCATTGACATAATACGCATACGAAACACACGTATGAAGACCATAATATTCTATTTAGTACCGTATTTGATGTAATTCACCTTACTCTTCACTGAATTTACTTATTATGCTATAAGATGACAATTTTATTTTATTTTATTTCAACAATATTTTGTGAGGTGGTTCATTTAGAATGAGTTGATAAATTGATAAAACCAAACACGTTGAATCAAAATTTCGGACGGAACAAAAATTCTCCATCATTAATATGATCATTATTAATTATGACATTACTATTATAGTAAAAAATCGTTAGTTGCAGTTAGCTGATATTGTTATTTTTGTTACTTTTTTTGAGATTTGTTAATTTTCTTTTCTGTCGAGTTTGAACACTAGGCATAGCGTATACTTCAGATCCGTTAACCTTAACTGACCGTCCATTCTTCCAAAGCTAGCAACTACTTCAGTCCATATTGACTTACGAACGAACTTTACGTGAATAGCCGCACACCTGGCATTATCACAACACAATGCATTCATAACCGATAATAATTAACCTTAATCCATACTGAGACTGGATGTTTCTACGTAAAAAACGTAATGAATCAAATGTTGTTTTCACTTACTTATTCAAGAAAGTCAGTCTCAATAAAGTAATTATGGACGATGGTTTGTGGGATTGAAACTGAATCTCACCTACAGTAATATATCTTTGTCTACCTTAATTTAATAAAATCCTCATAACAATCACCCGGTTTTCTACGGCTTTAATTAGCATATGAATTTTGGCATTTTTGTGTCGTTGCGACATTTTTCAGTACTTAAAGGCTTTATTGTCATTGTTGGACTTTTCACGAATTATGTGTAACAGGACACTTATATTCATTTGTGTAGAAATCTAAGATTCATAACAACTGAAGCAAGTGATGATGGTTAGCATGAAAACCGTTTGGATTCTACTGTACCAGGCTAGTATAGCCCTGGGTATAAGTTTTAGGTATGGGCCTCAGTCAGCCAGTGTGTTCCAAGGAGATATGGTCGTCCTCGAGTGCGCAGTTGACGACAAGGGCCCTGGTAATTTTGTGTTCTGGCAGCATGTTAGCTCGAATATGTTTTTGAGTTCGGACGATAAGATACTTTCTGCTGTTGAAGATAATCGGTTTGCGATTGGAGGGAATCACGAGTTGGGACAATACAACCTCATGATATCAAACGTCGATGCACCTGATGACGGAATGTATCGCTGTGGATTTCAATTAGTGGATAACGACGGAAGTGTTTTTGTTTTTCGTGAAGCTAACCTGACAGTTCTAATCCCACCTCATGATTTTTATCCAAGATGTACTCTTAGTACGGAGAATCCTAATCCCCAGCCGGGAGACACAGTGAGTGTAGCCTGCGTATCCATAGGTAGCAGTCCTCCGACGGAGCTAACTTGGAGACGTAACGGTTCTATATTATCTTCGGATATAAATGCTGCATTTGTTGTATTGGAACTTGTAGCGGAGGATAATGGAGTAGAGTTTGTTTGTAAAGCCTCAGGGAAAGCTCTTTTTCAGCCTAGATTCTGTTCTGTAACGCCGATGATTATACTCCCAGTGGTTTTTATAACATCTATGAATCCAGAGCCTACAGTCGGTGATTCAATTACGTTAACATGCAATGTACAGAATGCTGTACCATCGTACAATGAATTGCAGTGGTTTGTTGATGGTAAACAGATCACAGGCGTCACTGGTAACACTCAATATTTTGTTGTTGGTACCAACGAAAATATACTGATTATCCCTCAGTCGCAAAGAAGCGATGACGGCAGAAATGTGACTTGTATTGCTAGAACACCATCTGGATTGGCAGGTCGGTCCACGTTGGTACTGTCTCTGCAAGGAATCGAGACAGCATCAAAGGTGCATTCGACAGTGAAACCTCAAACAAGGTTAGGTTATACAACAGAAATAACAGCACCAGCAAATATGACATCGTCTTTTGACTCAATTATGAATGAACCAATTACCTCAGTTGAAACATTACCAACTGCACGCACAACCAAAGCGCAAAGGGGACGCACAACAAAACACGTTAATCAAAATGTCTCAACTACTGCAGTAAACTACATTTTCACAAGCAGTGTGCGTGATGTTAAATCTTCAACAGAGAAAACATCAAAAGATGCCATGACTACTGAACTAAAAAAACGGACAATAGTTCTGGCCTCACCTCCTCTAGGTGATGATTCACAGTTAAAAAAAGATGACGTTGTCGGCGCCGTGACAGTTATTCTTGTAACTGTCGGAGGATGTATCTTTTTACTTATTTCGCTTGTGATCTGCCTTCTCAGACGTTCGCAAAGACTAGAGCCAAAGAAAAGTAAGAAGCCAGAGCCTCCAGAAGTAGAATCAAACAAACATCAGCACGTAATGCATACAAATCCATTATATATTTTAAATAATGAAGGATTAAGGCGTCAATCTAGAAAATGAGGCGTGTATTATCAATTCCAAAGAACACTAGGCGAAGGTCTATAATACTAATAAAAGTACTGGCGAGCGAGATAAAATTTTGACTGTTTTAACAGAAGTTAGTATAGAATAGACCTCTCGTTCATTTACGTGCTACACTAATGAACTACAGTTACATAGACCAACCAACTATTTAATTCCAGCGTGCAGGGGGTTTTAAGGCCAGTGTCACAGGGATTTTGGCTGCTGTATGTTCCCTGTTTAAAGAGAAGTCCCTAGTAAATCCTAGCATAATGCGGACTAAGTATTTGCTAAGTGTATTCAGAAGATTCGACTTCCGCAGGGTTGAATTCATTATGAATTTCTGCTCGGGGACCAAATTTATGTAGGCAAACTATCCGGGTGACACTAGTCTACAGACACAGTTTTGTATTCCTAGTTCTATTAGATGTTTAACAATATGCAGCATAAAGAACCACGTTTTTGTTTACTATTGTATTAATTCATTGTGTGCACTTGTCAACAGATTAAAATGTATTTATAGTTATTAAGTAATGTATTATAGTAATTTGCAGAGATAACAGTAACTTTTACAAAGACGATGATGCATTTTTAGTATTTATTATTAGCATAATTAACCTATTATTCGGGTTAGATGCAACGAGATATGTTGACATTTTAGTGATCAATAATTGTATATTGTAATGTAATGTAGTTAGATTTGTATGGCACTTAATACCGAAATGGTCTCAAAGCGTTCGAGGTGTGGACTTACAGGTTTATATTTTAATACACACACTATGAACCACATCTTCTACGCATTAAATATACATCCCTAACCTTGCAATATTTATAAACGAATGTTTCTTAAAATACAAATAATTGTGGCTACATTTTTTAATGTTTAAAAGTATCTGGATGTTATTACAACAGCTTAAATTACTGACATGCATAGCAATATTACATACTCAAACATTGGTAAACTTAGATATAAACACTTAAACTTAGAGAAACACTTGCATATGCGATTCCAACGTTATAACATCTTTGACCTGCTGCTTTCTTCTTTTAAAATGGACCTCAGATGATTCACTGCTGAATTATAACATCGAAATATAGCATTGAACTGACCCGCGGTATGATTATATGATTTCGACATGACCCAAAAATATATTACATGTACACTACGATTGATGTCAGTGATACACGCAGATAACTTAAATGTGTTCAAATTAGCTGTTAACTTTAAGTTGATTAAACAATACATAGGTATTGTACTGCAACTAACTACAAGTGTTTTATTTGTTTTTAATTAAATGCTAAAACTTAATAATGATTGACTATGACTTCAGATGACCGCTAGCATTCTTCTTGAAAAAAAAAATCAGCTTGAAGACGTTAATTAATGTTTATGAGCACGTGAATGCATTATATAATTTGCTTATTTGTTATTCATGAAACTTTGATATGAACATAAAATTCTGAAAAACATTAATGTTGCATCTTCTGAAGGAAATTGAGTTAGGAAATAATGTTTGAAGGAACGTAGCGTTTTGCAGAACACGTGTGTCTAGCTTCAACATTATTAGGAAGACATTGTGACAAGCATAATTCCAGTCAAACTGAAACTTTTATTTCCATATTTAGATATGTTTGAACTTGACCAGTTCATGTTTCGGAGCTGTCGATGAAACATTTACATTGGCAGCACATAAATAAACTAAATAAAATATTTATACGAAAACTCAGAGATGACCACATTATTATATATTAACGAATAGAGCTCATTAATAAAATGCATCCTTATTAATAGAATAGAATAGAATAGAATAGAACATTTATATAGCGCCGGTATCCGCCAAAAATGACGCTCATAGCGCTTGAAATGAAAGAATACATCCGGAGGGATTCGAACTTGTGAGCTCTCGCTGTCAAGGGTGTATAATATACCGTTTCTCAACGAAAAGTTTTTTTATTTCAGTTGTATATAAGAAGTGTCTGGGTTAAAATGTAAAATACTGAAAAAAAACCAATGCTGTGGGAAACAATGGCTTGTTTTTCGTTAGAGATACAAATTTGATAAGCAACATCTAATAAGAAATAAACGTAAGTAAATAGCTAGTGTATATATATATGTATATATATATAAATATGTCTAAATACATCTATATATATACATATATACACACATATATACATACGTGTATGTATATACGGTATGTATATATGTATTATATAGTATATATATATATATATAATGATGTCATCAACCATATCTCATCAACGAAAAGTTCCCTTATTTCAGTTGTATGTAAAAAGTGTCTAGGTTAAAAGGCAAAATACTGAAAGACAACAATGCTATAGTGTGTGTGTGTGTGTGTATATAGAAAAATGAAGAGGGATGCACCTGTGTTCATATATATGAATAATATAGAAAGAAAACAGGAAACGGAGTAGACTTTTAGAACACTATTTTATTTAAACATTAATATTTTGACCTGACCTCGGATCCTCCTCAGTCATGCTGAGGAGCACCTGGGGGTCAGGCCGAAATATTCATGTTTAAATAAAATACCGATAGTGTTCTAAAAGTCTACTCCGTTTCCTGTTTACTTTTAAAAATGCAAATAATTTTTTTATTCACTCAAGATAAAAGTACAGTATTTTACAGTCGTTTTTGATAGTTTCATATCAATTTTAGTTGTCATCACATTACATATTCTTCATTTTTTTGGTATGTTGTATCTGAAATCTAATTAAATCTTTGCGCACACGTTTGTAATACAAATTATGTTTTAGGCTTTAAAACTAGGCCTATGTATTGTTGGGGCTCAATAGGATAAAAATAATTGATATTTGATTAGCCTATGATAATGTTTTATAATTTATAATTATAATATAATACTATATTAGGTATATTATTATCGAATGCAGACATACAAAATGATAACTATCATAACCTACTTATGCTGTCTGCCATACTAAATTTGATGTAGCGCCCTCATTAAATTTAGTACAAAAAAAAATTCCAAAGCTGTATAATAAAAAAATGTTCCGCATAACGTCAAATTGTAAGGTACGGTTTATTATGTTAAAATAATAAACCGTTCGTTACATTTTTATTATTTAGCATAATAAACCGTACCTTACAATTTATTATGTAATATTTTTTTAACTACAGATTTTATTTTTGCAAATTTTGTTGATTTCAGAAGAGTAAAATTTAAATGCTTCACTAACAATTTTTATTTGTGCTATGCGCCCCTTTTTATATTGATTGATTAATCTAATTATATCATTTCCATCGTAGAAGCGCATACACACGTTTTTCTTTAATGAAAAGGCGTGTGATTTTTTATCATATTAAACTTATCATATTGACCTACCGTATAATTGACTAATGAATTAATCATCCAGTTACGAATAATAAGGTAGGCCTACTGATTCTCTACTTAAAGCTTTGCCGGAATAAAACTATTATATATACTTTTCAGGGGAGATGACAAAGCCAGGCGGGACCAATTACAGATAAGTAAATCAGAGTAGAATTCATTATATCTTGAGATGTTTTCATAGCGAGTTTCAAAAATAGATAATGATGCTTTCGGTACACCATATGTAAGAATATGTTTTTTTTAGAGGTAAAACCACTGGTCGTTTTTTTCAGTGAGATTACTCTGACCATTATCAAGGGAATGACAAAAATGACTTCTGTTCCACGGCTTTAAATAGAGAATGGTGATAGTCGCTGATCCATTGTTTTTGTAAACAATTATTAAAAGTGTAGTGGATTTTAATAGCTGGTGGTTAAGATAATTGCCTTCCGATTCCAGAGTCCTGGGTTCAATTTCACTTCCTAACTCTTAATGCGACTTAAGCTGCGCAACACAGTCGTCGGCCGACACGATTCTATAAAGAACGCAACGCGACGACGCGCGCGCAACGAATCGTTTTTAATGACGATCCGTTCATACTGCCACCGACAATCAACAGACGGCGTCACGTCGTCTACAGCTCACAAGGAGCGGAGTTGGATTCGTCGTACGATGGTCGTATGACCGCCGTCGACCGTCGTACGACGTAGTGAGTTCCCGACATTAGAGAACAGTAGCTAGATATCGACTGAACAGGATACCCAGTATAAAGAACGAAGGTTCTTAATTGAAGTTAAAAAGCCGATAAGAAAAACATAGGCCTATTCTTACAGATGATGTACAGAATCTTTAATTGTTTATTAGTGATAGGCCTACGCGCCATGAAAATAACTATAATAAATTATGATTATGATGATGAAGAAGATAATGGTGTTGATTGATGAATAATATAATGATTTTTAGTATAAAGCAATTTAAATTGACATGTGCAGACAAAATGTCTTTCCATAGGTTTGTGTCATGTCCTATGATGCAAAATCTGTGAATCACACATCAATGTACAGTTATTCATTATTACCACATTTCTTTCATAGACCCTTAGGAAAGCTAGCGCCTTCCGTCCAAAAACTTTATTTTGCATATAGAACGATTATCGGTGTTCCCCATATGACACTGAGCTTGCCTCGATACAAAGGTGGGTAGTACATGCAAACTGCCGTACATTGCGTCCAAAAATATGTGATTACCGGCACCCGCTCTCAAGCTCTAGCTTTATTATCAGAAACGGAACTTTCCATTAGTGTGTCTATCGAGTCTACAAAACCTTTTTTCAGCTTTAAAGGATACGGAAATTATCACAATTAGAAAATTTACAGCACTATCTAATAACTTTATTTGTATCATAACCAAGAATTTTAGGTCACAATTTCTGAATATGTGAAAGCGCTACTAGTATTCGGATCCGGTTGGCCGTGTCGATATGCAAATTTATGCTTTAGTTCCAGTTTTATCTAAGGAGTGTTTTCGTCTGATCCGAAGCAGAACTTTGCAGTAATATAGGAGCTGATGCATATAGGAATAATGGCGATTTTCAAAAGGATCTGTACTTGTTTGTGCTTGTTAATCTTTAAATACGAATGTGCCGGTGTACGCCTAGTGTTAGGCCCCGTTAACTATGCGGCCTCTCCGACCGAAAACGTTCGCTTACGGTGTCAGATAAGAGAGAAAGGGTCGGCAAAGATAATCTGGACCTATGGATCGGAGACTATTCTAAGCTATGACAGACAGACTAACAGACTTCTAGATCCCAATCTCGGGAGTCGGTACTCCATTACGCCATCGTTCGGCAATAATTTTGATCTAAATATTCAAGACGTACGTGTGATTGATATTGGCATGTATACCTGTGGCTATATAGGAAATAAAACAGTGTTTAGCTTAAAATCTATCAAGCTGGATGTAGTTCAGGATACATCGGTTCAGGTGTATCCTAATTGCTACCCTGACCAGTCGCTGGATAGAATATCACCACACGATTCAGTTGATTTGAATTGTGATGCAGGTTTGACTATATCACCCAACACAAAACTTAGCTGGATCAAACGTGGCACCACGCTTGTAAGCCAGGTTGGTGAACCATACCTATCGTATCATACTGTTCTCACACATGACGACTACGGAGTCGCGTTTGTTTGTAATGTAACTGACCTATTAACGGACCAGTATAAAACATGTCGAATTGTACCACTTATTTTTGCACAAAAGACATCGTTATTTGTGCAGATCGCACCACCGATAATTGAGGCCCAGGTTGGAAATGAAGCTATTTTTACCTGTATTGCGAGAGGTTTAGAATCAACCGAACAGCCACGATATAGCTGGTCAATTACTAATACTGATCTGATTACAAGTAAACGCGTTTTTGTACAAAATAAAATACTAAAAATAATTAATATTCAACCTGATGATGACAGATCTCGTTTCACATGTGAAGTAATTACAGATACACGACGTCGAGGGTCAAGAGATACGGTATTATACGTGGCTTTACCGCGCCCACGCGTCACTACCCCTACAAGGACCACAACGAACACAGGACCCCGTACACATACGTTACTGTACTTTAACGAAACAACTAATACATTTGTGCCTAACATTACTAATACTAATAGCAATCAAAGAGGACTTAGAAGCGGGATTGCTGTTGTTAGTGCTTTAGTCTTGATATTCATTATTATAATAGCAGTGGAAGTTGCTAGAAGAAGAAGAAACAGACAACGATCTGGAAATGCTGTACCAACTGGGGAACGGGAAGCGGTATTCCAGGATGCTGCGACCGTAGGCGACAGTTCTCGATTCAGTTTTATGCAAATAATCATAAGATTTAGTCGTACTTTTAGTAGCGCACCCCCGAAGAAACCAAGACGAGTCCGATTTGCAAATCAAGAAAGCATGCGTAAGCCAAAGAAAGTCATTAGTGAGCATCTATATGACTTTGTTCCATTTGAGGAGGAGAACCCGAAAAGTAACAAAAAGCTCTTCAAGAAACCTAAACTATTCTTATTTGAAGAAGGGTCTGTTTATAAAAATATCACCAAAAACATGTCAAACAATTGCTCACTCATAAGTTATACATGTAAATATGAATCACATCCAGTGACCTGTGCGTGTGTGCTGGACGATGTGTCTGGAAAAATGAGCCTAGCAAATCCAGACACTGATACTAGACCAAGAACTCATCCTGGAAATTTGGAAATCATTTCTAAAGGCAATCCTTTGAAACCACCAAAACTTCAGTTGACCAGTGGACTGGATTTAGTTTACGCAGATTTAGACTTTCACGAAAAAACGCACGAGTCACCGACTTTAATGCAAGTTTTACTAAGACTGCGGGGAAATGAATATGCGGAAATACGAACCAGTGTAAAGTAATAATGAGCATTTTTACGTAAATTAGACCTACTATTAGTATGGATATGTAGCAAACTCTAAATAAAATACATGCATTACGGTTACACAAAGTTGAAACGTATACTGTACGTTGAAATTATAGACATAACATTCACTGGATATTTCAAGCACTCCTTCTCTTTCTCAACGATAACGATGAAAACTTAATCAAGCAAACACTACGGTGGTGGATAAAAATTTAAAGAGTTTTAGGCTGTATAAGATCAATCATACACATAATATGTACGGTAAATGTTGAATTAACTACAACTATAGAAATATGTTTCTCTTCACCCGGCGGAAGGCAATGCCCTATCTTTTCTAGCGAAGGACCAATTGCAAAAGCGATTGACCCATGTTTAATGTATAATAGTCTTGAATATAAATTGGATAGGCCTATAATATTTTAAACAGGTCTAGACAATACTTGATAGTATTTTAAATAGGCTTATAAGTTGATTTGGCCTTGTACACATTACCAAGGAAACGCAGATATTGAACCGGGGAAGCCCATATTTAGTAAACCGTTGAATCACAATGAATAGGCCTACTACGCTCAGAAGATTAGTAATAATTGAAACTAAACGCGAATCGTATTATACAAGGTGTCAGAATGAATATGTTAAAGAATAATTCATAAGATTTTGTTAGATCCAATAAAACATGATTATAATATTCAATTATCAATTATTTATATAATCAACCATATTATCAACTACCATTATCAATGAATTTCATATCATAGTAGGGCCTAGGTTTTATTGTTACAGATTGTACTGTGAGTAAAAACGTACATGATTGGTAGCAAACATGTCATTCATTGTTAGGTTGGCCCGTGGTATTCAGGCATCAGGCATAGTATTGTACATCAATGAGTTACTATGGAATTTTGCAATTCACGTTGGGATTTAAACAAAGTCTAGATTAATAATTGAATAGAGGATTTCAATCCATTACTGCTTCTGATTACTGTGATTAATGATGGCAAAGTAGTATATAATTTAAGTTTTTGTATTAAAACACTTTCAATACAATGTGCAATACGAAATGGAAAAGGGGTGAATCACATGGTGGCTGGGGTAAAATGTATTGCCTCCTCGAGATCCAAAAAACAACGTTAATATTTGTTATGAAGTATGAAGTTTTCGTTATTTCGTTCCAAAATTATACAAAAGGTTTCTATCCCTTGTTGAATCTTTTAGTAGCTCAATTTGAACAATTGTTTGTTAAACAATAGGTAAACGCTTCAATACCATTCCTAATACATTGTGGTTTTTCTCGACCTTGGGATTTATGGTTGTTTTTTTTTTTAAATATTTTTTGTCATTTTAAAGTTTTCATAGACTAGTATTGCATACTCTGACGTTGAATTTTAGGTCACCGTGGTCTGTAACGTCATAACCACTTCACCACAATAAGACTTTGTGATTTTACTATTATAATACAATGGAAAAAATAATATAATATGAAATAGCCCTATGCATGACAAACAATTTTGCTGAGCGGGCCCGTAGTAGTAACCTTCATATTTACAGGAGACGGCACTGTCATCATCATCCGTTGGACATGCACGTGGGTTCTCCAAAGGGAACTATTTGGCATTGCGAGTATTTGCTTAAAGGTACCTATGACAGGGTTGGTATATCTCCTTCAAAAGAATATGCCCAGAGTTCTCCTAGGGTTTTCAGCCAATAATACCTTATTGTTTAGTACTATCCGACGATTTCTTATTCTTGCTCATCACTCGAACGGAATGGGGTTATTTTTTTCTTAATTTTTTACTGACATCATGTAGCATGCCACTAGTTTTATGAAAATTGTAAAAAATGCTGCGAAGGCAATCGGTAGTTCCAAGCAAAATGACAATAGCATTATAAGGACGACCGTCGATAAGACCAGCGACTGTTACTACAACCACTTTTTTTTTTTGAAATGATAAAAGTAAAAGTATAATCATACACGCTATCACTGCCTGGTGACATCCAATGATTCATAGTATTACCGGTAACTGCGATCTTATGACAGCGCCCCCACTTTAGTCATTCTGTAATATTATTTTCGACATAAATCTTACAACAAAAGCGTCGACGTATGCCTCGATATTGTTATTGCTTTATCAAACATTTATGATTTGATTGAAGTTTCGGAACATGAACAATGTAACATTCAACAGTGTAAGTAAAGGAAAGCAGATGAAAGTACTGTAATGTATTTTCTTCAACCGAGAGGGCAGCGTTATAATTATTTATTGGAGCTTTAACAAAACAACACACACACACTACACTACTATTTTAGAAAAGAACATTATTACTGATTTAAAGCTACTCGGTGCCCGCGGTGTGGACTAAGCACACGATAGGCCTAGACTTAAATATAAAAAAAAACCATTTTTGTAACCCATAGCTTACAATTTCAGATAAGCCTAATGAGGTACATTTGTATTAGAATCATCAATAATATGATCATCTATCTGAATCGAAAATGAAATTTACCAGACAAATTAATTAGATCGCTAAGAGTAAATTATTTATGTACAGTAGGCATACCTATATTATATCGATACGTCATATAGGCCTATGTAAATACATACAGGTACTGTATGCATAAATGAACATACCGTAGAGACGAACTTAATTGTTATATACATTTTAGGCCTACATACATTATTTTCCGATATCTTTATATATTATAGGTTAATTTTAATTAGAAAAAATGGTAAAACGTGAAGTACATGTACTACATTGTGATAGTAAATTTATAAAATGTGATGTATTTAAAGTGGCTGCGTTCTCTGTGGAAGCTTGTGTTGCCCGTGGTGCACGTGGGGCCTGCCGTGCCTGTGGCGCCAAGGAAGAAAATCTAGCCTCTGGGCATCGCACTCTGATTTTGCCAGCGTCCACTGCCTGCAGATTGTCCGCCCGTTCACCGGGTCCAAAAAAGTGCACTGTCTGTGATCGGTACTGTACCGGTACATAAGCAAATACCAAACGCTAATAATAAACATTGGGCCAAGGTTTGAGCTGTTAATGAATTATATACTCTCTTACCAAAGCATTCAGTTATTTTAATTTTGTCGTTGATGAAGCGGTCTAAATAATTTCATCGTGCACCAATCCGGAGCAAAACAAGATGACCCTTGATACAAAAAGCTCACTCTGATAACTATACGGTAGCTTACAGTTTGTCAAACAACCCAAAATGATTTCAAAATCAGTTTCTAACAAAAAATATATATATAATAGTGAAGATTTTTTGGTGGTGTACACCTGATAAACAACCAATTCTATATTATCTGTTTTTTCTTGCACATGGACCATAATTAGTATTACACATGTTCAAGAGCTTAAAAAAGCCTCAGAATGACAATATAGCCCTTAAGACAAATATTGTTTATGATGATGACGATGATGATGATGGTTGCATGTGATGGTAATGGTGATGTTGGCAGTATTGGTGATGGTGATATTGAAGATGATGTTAATGATAATGACCATGACGATGTTTATTATTATTATTATTATTATTATTATTATTATTATTATTATTATTATTATTAAATGCTGCAAGTAGCAAAACTTTCATCAATAAATCAACATAAGTCATTTGCTTTTTTTAAAACTAAAATAATTTAGATTTTTTTTTTATAAAGAATATGTCAAACCTTTTGCAGGAACTATATAAAAATTAATTAAATAGTCCATAGATTTAGAAAGAAATAATAACCAAATCACATTTTTATTAAGTATATTAAAACATAATTTTTACACTATTAAATATTTTATCTTAGTGTATAATTTTCTAGCTCGACCTGTCATTTGGGCTGTCTATATCGGGACCGACTTTTCAATTGTCATTTTTAGCCATTTTTTCCTAGCCCATTTTTCTTCCAGGGCAATTTGTAACGTACACCACCAAACCAACCATGGAAGCCGGAGTCAAATCTGGGTATTGACAGATGACGTGGGTTACTTCAGTATCGACGGAACTCCAGGACCTGGGTCGTCGGTGACTAAGGTCTCGCGGGATGGGCCTGTTGCAGCTGCTGATGTGAACATAACACTCCCCCGGTTTGCTCATTTCCGTGGAGCAACCATGCTGTGTTCTGAGAGTTCAAAATTCTAATCTTCCAGTCTATTTATAATTTTAATAAAAAGACAAGAATAGAAAAATATACAAACAACTTAAATGCGATTTGAATAATAATAATAATAATAATAATAATAATAATAATAATAATTATTATTATTATTATTATTATTATAAAATAATAATAATAAACAACGAATTATTTTTAATGAAGATTCGTTGAGACTGCCACCGATAATCAGCTGACGGTGCGGAATTGGATTCATAATACAAGAAAGTTGCCTCTATGTCCTTTTCATATAAAAAAAAAAAATTATGAAACATAACCATGAAAAATCCTAATACTACAAAGAGTAAATAGTTTAAATAGTTAGAAGTTTTTTTCTTACTGGATTTTATCATTCGAGCCATTTTTACTTACCGGTACCTTTCATTTTGTGCCCTTTTTACCGGGGCCGTTCTTTCTTGGCGTTTTCTTCAGGGGTCACTTTTTTCCGAGGCCCTTTTTCAGGGGCCATTGTTTCCGGGGCCATTTTGCCTACATTATGGTTTGGTAGATCGGAGAATTTTATTCAGGCACTTTTCTGGCCTCTAGCTTAAGCAAAATGCGAACGGTTTAGTGGTTCCCACCAGTCTTGGGTTCAAGACTTAGCTAGGACGACTTTTTCACTCTCGCAGAATCCTCTTTTACGTTACAATTTATATAGCGTTACAAAAAGACCGTACCTAGGTACAATTGTTTATTGGGTTTTTTTTTAGCTATAAGACTACAGTACCTACACAGTTATATGACCTTTTTTTTTACTGGGTCTTCTTGTTGAGTGTTAGTGCTATATATTATACAGAATGGTATTTGTTTAGTTGATTACTTCCGAAAAAGCAGGAACGTGGTGACGCTTGCTATTATATCGATAATTTCTGTCAAGTCATAATGTTTCCACGTATGTCCAAACGTCGAACCAAGGTGTCGAATTTCACACAGTCACTCCGGACAATTACATTTGGACTTTAATTGAGATGACAAAACAAAATGACATTGAAATTCGCTGTATATAAAACAAGTGATAGGAAGTGATATTACTGATTAAAAATCCAAATCTAAGTAGGCCTATACAGAAATATATGCCTGAATAAGCAAGTCGTCAAGACTTGTTATATATTCGAAAATCAAACCAGGAAAATAACCACTTGGACAAAAACCACCCAAAATAGAATACTGTATACCGTTGTTAAAGTGGGGTGGGCAGTTGTGGGTGCACGATGTTGGGTGGTCCTGTTTTATCTAGCTTTACCTTAGGATAATTTATATTGTTACTTCCTATTAAACAACTTTACCTGTAATTCTTTAATTCTTTTGACAACATGCATGTAGGTTAATGAGCATTGTAGATTTTAGCAAGCACTGTGCTTAAAGTTTGCCATGTTTTAGTTGATTTAAACACAAGCTTCCAAAATTTTATTGAAATAAAGACAAGCAAACCAGTCGCTCGTAGCAAAAACTGAATTTTAGTTATTAATACAGTTTTTAACAGTAAAATGAGAGCCATAAAATGCTTAAAGAATTATTTAAATCCGATATTTCCTAAAGAAATTACAAGCCTTTGAACATACAGCTGTTTAAAGAACAATATTTGAGAAATCATTCTTCAAAGTTTATGATTTTAGGCATTTCTCAGGCAGAAATCATGACCAAATCATTAATTGTTGTTTTAACATTGGAAATGGGGAAAATAACAGCATAGCATGATGTGTAGATATATAAAGGTTAGTTTAGTGCAATCAAATAGATTTTTAAAATTTGGGCATTCCAGCATGTTTTGGCCAATATCTCTGAGACAGGATTTGCGACGAGTGACTGGTTTGGCTTGTCTTTGCCACATATTATGGTAGGCCTATTTGTCTAAATATATCCTCTATGTTTTTCATTCCTTCTTCCCTATAGTTAACCACCTCCTATTTTTTGCCCTTCCACAAGCTGCATTTGGCAAGCGTGTGTGATTCAGTAATGTAAAGAGTATTAGTTCATCAGTTCCATTTGTTTAATTTTGGAATTTTTACGATTCAGATTTTGCTTCATTTTATCCGGTGTTTGAATGTTACTTTTTTTTGTTGAATTTGATTGTTGTCTTCTTTTGTACTGGGCAATGTGGGTGAACAGACTACAAAAAAATTAAAAAATAAATAAAAATAAAATAGGCCTACATACTCTGAATAGTAAAATTACACAGTAGCAGGCCTCACTTAGCAAGGTATTAATCAGCTCTACCCTACCGTGAAGCAATGATCTTCTGAGAAACTATGCATTATTATCCCCTTATGTCATAGGCCAAATTTGAAAGTAGCACTGTAATACAGTAGGCCTATATGTATAAGGACTCTGTATAATCTTAAAGTAGAACGCGGCATGCATGATTACTCAGATTGATTGTGCAAGCTTTCCCTAAATTTACACAAGTAGTATTTTTTTCCTAATGTTATACTGACAGAGGTACTCGTTTGTCTCTGTGCAGGCCCTGGGAATGAAGCTTAGCAATGAGATGTTTGCACGAACTCTGGGGCTGTAGGTTTTCTGAAATAAAAGGTATATAGTTATGCCCACCTAGAATCCAACTTTCAGTCTTATATTGAGAACGATGTAATCTTAGTCCTGTTCCAATAGAATCATCAGTGGGGTTAAATTAAAATTGTTTAGATTATTGAAACTATATACAGTATAGGACTTTCTTATGAAGAACTTTTAAATAACCAGTTAGTATGTTGCACTGTTTTAACACTGTTTAAAAACACCTTCTCGCAGGGCAACTAAACAGAGAAATTAAAGAGAGTAATGATGATGATGATAAAATTATATTTATTTCACTGAATAATTTCCTTATTATCTCAATAATTTTAGTGGGTTTTTTTTGTCCCAATTATAATTTATTTTACATCGTAATTGTTGGTTAGCTTCTGCTGGATGGACCACCCTCCCAAAATACTGCTAAAATGATATATGCCTAAGTAACAATTAATAAATCTATTGACAATAGGCCTAATAACTGTTTGTAAAATAGGCCATGCATGTCATAGTTCAAAAAATGATAACTGAACAAATATTGGCTTTCTGAAATAAGGAAGTAGGCCTATACGTTTATTGTTACTAGATTGTATAAAATTTGAAGTGTTTATAATTGTATTGACTTCTTTGCACAATAACGAAATTTTTTTTTAGTAATTATTTAAAACTGTTAGGAGTTTGATAATAATGAGCTATAGCTGGTATTGTCACAATGAGTTCGGTCCCTGTGAATCTCTGTCCAGGGACCGAGCCGAGGAAATATGCTTAGTATCATTATACAACGAAGCATTCGCAGTATGCGTTATATAAAACTGATATAATACAGACTAAAAACGCTAAAAATAATGTAGACATTAACCACTATTAAAACAATTTCAGAAGAGCACTTTACGACCAATTATGACTCAACAGATAACGTTTTTTTCAGACGATCTATGTGATAATGGAGTGATATTTCTTCAGTGTAAATGTCTGTTCAGAAGTCAGATGAGTCTCTCACTTCATTATGCAATGTCGGATCAAATATTATTGTTTTGATGAGTGTAATCTGAGCAAGGGACCTCAATATGTAAATGGTACTTAACGGAAATTGTACAGGTATTTGACCTAGGAAGGAAGTTTTTTTTATTACAGATTGTGACAGAACAATGCATTTTTGCCGTTTGATTCTTAAAGTTTAAAACAAGTTAACAACAATAAGTTTTCTCAAAATATTTTTCTAGTCTAGAAAGTAAACTGACTAATAAAAAGCATTGCTATTAATGGGATAAACAAGACTGAACGTAATAACATATTTTTTTTCTAAAATAAAGACTATTGAAACTCATTGTTCTAACTGTTTTGCCAATTTCAGGCTCATATTATTATTTTGTTCTTATTTTACACACATTTTAAATTACTATTGTACAGCAGTGATATTACTGTACTGAATTATAGAGGGTATTACATTGTCACACCTACTGCACATAAGGAATAAAAAAAATTGTCTTTTATTTATTTATTTATTTTTTATTTTATCTCAGCCTCTTATTTTTCAAGCAATTTCCGCCTCAGTGTTCTTATAAAAAAAAGTGTACATCGGATTTGGTGGGACGATTTTAAATTTATATTTAAAATGATTCCCTTCTATAATTCTCCAGCTTCAATTTTTATGTGATAGCTTTTTCGTCACAAATTGAAACAACTCCACTCCCTAAGTTTTATTATGAGTAGATATCTACTGTGGGGGCACAGTAGATTTCTACTGAACAAGATACCCAGTATCAATAATTTAAAAGATTAAATTCATTCTCCTAGTGGGAGTGTTTTCTTTTTTCATTCTTATTTTTAACATTTTTACATAAAACGAATTATGCTTTGCTGGAAAACGTGTAAATGAACCGTACCGATCTGTTATGTGTTATTTTTCAAATTTCTGAAAATTGGATTATTTATTTATATATTTTTTTGAGACAACACTTCGCTTAAGAGTACTGTGTAAACCATAGGTGGGTAGCATTGCAATAGCTGAAATGATTATCATTTGACACTCGTAGCGCACACATCGTGGGTAAATGCATACACTGTGTTTAAATCAATTGTGTAAATAATTTAACAACAATATACGTAATAACTTGAGGATGTTACTCTAACGGGTGTGTAGGATACAATCATACGCATACGCATCACACTTTTCCCCCACAAACTGCATTATTACAAGTTTAATTGGATAACATCGGTATTCGTGTGTGAATAATAATTATGTCATGTTGTGTGATTACATAAGTCAGGTGTAGGCCTACTTATGTTTAATGCTACAATATGTAACGAAAGATCAATGATTTGCGTAGAACGTTGCGAACGTTATGAAATCATCCGTACGCTTTTTAACATCTTATTCCTATTCTTCTCTACAATATTAATACGATATCTTAATTAGTAATAATTGTAATGACAACAATGATAATCGTTATACATAGTAGCAAAATTAATTTATTTGCATAAATAATAGTCATATTAAAAATAATATTACCTTTGATAATAGTAATAAAATGAGAATATTATAGAAGCTGGGTGAAAGTGTTTAAATCTCTTTGGTTTTATTTATTTATTTATTTACTAATATCTTTATCCAGGATGACACAATCATTTTAAAGAAATTGTAAACGTCAATACTTAATATACGTAATATACAAAGTCATCTTGTAATCATCAGTTTAAGGTGGGCTATATTGACTTTAGTATTATTTATAGTAACGATAAAAGTTAATGTGATAGTAATACTCATATGCCTATAAGAAAAATTTAGCAAAAATAATATAATATTACTGTAATGTGCAGAGGAAATGCCTAAATATACTGAAAGAATACCTTACAGTCTTTCAACACCACAGAGCTTTTCTTCCTACGATTATACTACGATTTTATGTTTATACCTTTACCTAATGCCATTAAGATACTGAGTTAAATGCTTGACTTTATTTATTTACTTAATTCAACAATATTTTGTGAGGGTGGTCCACCCAGCATAAGCTGAGCATTAAGGACCCTAAATACATAAAACAAAAATTGGAATATATACTATAATTATATGACTATAAATTAATTAAAAACAAAGAAAACAGAAAATTAATGGCATAATAAATGATAAGCAAAAACAGAACCCCCCCCCGCAAAAAAAAAAAAACAACATAAAACACAAAGTTTTTGGCCAGCCTGAGGAGAGAGGCAAAATACGGAACTAAATTTTTATTTTAATTGTTTTTTGAAAATTATTTTTACAGTTATTGAAAGTTCAGAATATATTATTTCGTTTCTGTCGAGTATTATTACCAAAACTATTATCAAATATTTTATTCACCAGAGTTTATTGACTGCTGGTAGATGATAGTCGTTCGATTACTTTTGTCCATGTCAACATAGTCTTCTAATGGTTCTTTGCCGCCGTCACAGCTATTACCTAGTAAATGTTCATTCGATCTGGCCATAGGGTCTGTGGATATGTAAAGCTGTTTTGGACATACGTAACCTTTACTGTCAAGTGTATCCGATTGTCGAAGATCCTGTGATTTTAAAGCCGTTGGAATTTCGTATGTGCCGTCGTAGGCCTCCGACACTATCCTGTCAGTATTTTGGTTGTTTACTGAAAACAACATCGAACAAGGTGTATCGTACCGCCGTTCTGGAGGAGTACGGCCTATGATACCATTACTATCACGTCCCAGTGTTTCATAATCATTGATATCATTATCATTGTCATCATTTTTTGCAACAACTTCGTAGTACTCTCCGCTTCCTTCATTGTCTACGTTCGGTATTTCGCTAGTATAGCCTACTACCTGCGACACGGATGCAGATTGTACGGAGTTACCAATCAGATTCTGATATACGGAGGGGAGTTTTCCGTCAGTGCCTAGTGTTTTGTATTGATTGGGCACAGGATCTGTGACAGTCGGTGCTGGGCCATAGTCATTAGTCATCGAATACACAGATCCGTTACCTCGCAATTGAGACATATTCATTTCACTAACTGGTCTCCTCTTCCGCCGTCGCACACACAAACGGACGGTAATAAACAAAATTGTTGCCACAAATAAAAAAGCTAAAACAGAGCCAAAAATTGCACCAAATATCTGCTTTTTATTGTTTTCTTTAGCATTTATAAACTCGTTTTCTTGATAACCCGTGGTAAATTGTTCAGTTGTCTGTAATTGCGTTGTGAGAAGTGTCGTTGATGGTTTGTAATCTTTAATTACGAATAATATTCCTGAGTCCATGTTTGCTAATCCAGTTGGCGTTGTTGCCTTGCACGTTACCAAAGTGTTATCGTCCCTAAGCGTCACGTTTTTAATCACTAGGACGAACGAGTTATCTTGTAGAAATATGCGACCATCCATCCCGTTATTTACCATAGTATTGTTTATTAACCATGTAATTTTTTTAATTCTAGGAATGCCATTTGCGTTACATCGGAACGATGCATCCTGACCGACGTCAACTGTCAGTGCATCTGGTTGCACCATAACGACAGGTAGAATTTTTAACGGTACGATACTACACGTTCTTGGCTTGTTCAACGTTTCATGACTCAGCTTGCAAACGAACTGACGTCCATTGTCCTCCGGCTGTAGGACGGGCGATACTTCATTTGTAGTAATTCGTGATACACCAATTGCCTGCTCCCCACGGAACCATCTTAGTGACGCTGGGGGTCGACCACCTGATGATTTGCATACCAAGCTGACTAAATCACCTGGCCTTAGCATGGGGGCGGATGTACGTGTCGAGCACATAGGCGACCCTATACTCGGTTTTACTAGGACGACAATGATAGCTCTCGCAAATCGAAATTGGGAATTAGCTGGAAAGTATCCGCATCGGTATTCACCTTCATCAGATACCTGAATGTTTGTTATTTGAAGATTGTACTCACCTACGTTACCAATCACTCGATATCGAGGCATAGACATGTAAAAACTCCTTTCAAATGATATGTAAGTCATTGTGTCCGCTTTGAACCAGTAAATGTCAAAATTACCTTTATTTGAAAAAGAACACCGTAGCGTAACTGTGCTACCGACGAGAACCCGCACATTTTCGTCCGGTTTCACTAGAAAATCGATGCCAATTGAAAGTTGGAAAACAGACGCTAGGACCAACAACACGGTCGTACACATATTCTCGTACATTTTTTCCTGGATTGTCTAACTTAATCCGTGACTTCGTTCTCTCAATTATTCGCTGAGTGTCGCACATAGGTAAACTTTTATGGCGGAGGAACAGCGCTGGGATGACGTCACTGGTAGAAACTAAATGAAGGTCGGAAGATTGCATATATGGACGTATACCGTTGTTGTGTATACTATTTCCTATGATGTTGGATGGTGGTTGTCACGGACGCTTTTTTGTTGATGAAGCAATCTATGACGCTTGTTTCACAAGACAGGCCGGCCAACCAACCGGTAACGGTATATTTAAGACAAATTCGAGCATTGAGTCATCATAAAACAAGACTTCATTATTTCATGAACTTCAGTCCATGAGTGAATCACCCCATCATGTTCTAGATCAAAGTAGACGACATGTTGTATCAACAAGTGCAAAGTAACTGCAAACGAAGCAAAGCACATCGTTTTTTTTTTATCAATATCGAAAAAAACAATCTCTTATGATCGCGTACTTTTAATCCACTAAAAAAATTAATACAAATTCAAAAAAACTGCCTACTCAATCAAAAATCATAATTAGTATATTAACTCCATGATACAAGTAACTACCATCATCTATACACTTTTTTAATTAAATGCTTCCAGGTAGTATAAATATTAGTTGATGAGTAATAGGCCTATATATACTTACTTTCCATCTTCTCCTTAGTTCGAAATATTTTCAATTCGGATTTACAGCTTAGTGTCCCAAATTTTTTCCCCCAAGGTAGATTTCATTGATAACATGAAGAACCAGTAGTATTTTTTTTGTGAAAGTATGCTCGATTTCAGAAAACTTTTTTTGTATTCTGCCTTATTTCCTACTCCTACTGTATCAGAAAGTTTAGTCGAAGAGGGCGTGCTTATTATTTTTTTAAACATCATTAGCCCAACACAAGATCTTAAAGAGACCACTGGAACGGGGCTACAGAATAATTACAAACGGAAGCAACTATGTAATTTTCGTTTGTAAGGTATAAATTTTGGCTAATAGGATGTATTTGGCGGGTAAATATTTTCAAATAGAAGTGGTACATAACAAAATCTTGGAATGAGTAAGTCATGGAGTTTTCAATAGAATCAGGAAATGAATGTCGAGAGATCGTGTAAAGAGTGGTACGACAAATGCTCTGTTTCATGGGAGAAAGCAGAGCAAATTCGTGAAGCATATTTTATGGCAGTATAATTTTGTAGAAGAGTCGTATTGATTTTATAGAACGAAGGAGTGCCAGAAGCTCGAGTGGTAACGCTAGGCCTTGGTCGACACGACGTAGATGTACTCTATCCTGCATGACAGGGGAAAAAACACTGGTGCCCAAGTGGCGTATCTAAGAGGTGTGGAGGATGTGGCGCATGCCCCCTAAAAAGCACATGCGTCCCCAGTCGCATCCCCACATTGAAAATGTTCGAAGCAAAATCAAGTAGATAAAAATCACCTCATATTATTGTACCTTATTTTGCGAGCTAGTTTCTTAATCATCAATCCCCTCTCCCACTTCAGCTTCTTGGCCCATCATCCCCCCACCCACAATTTCAAGACTCCGAGGTACGTCACTGAAAGGTGCACCGATCCATTATTATTATTTTTTCAAAGCAAACGTATTTTTTGGTCAATAACTATCATTGCTCAGCATAGAGGGGTTCGATGAATGCTCATGTAGGTCTATATTATTTGTATACCTTTAGAAACGTTGGACGTAAACGCTTTAAAAATGAAAGTGTAAACTAATAACAAGAAGACAGGAAATGTTGACAGAAACTGGAATGTCGTATCTACCCACCTTTTTTTATGTGATCTGCTACTCTCAAGACATTATAAAATAATGTAGCCATTCACTGGTAACAACACTAGTATTTTAGACATGATGGATGTAATCTGGGCCGGGGTCTTAAGAAGCAGGCACACTCTGCGACCGACTGTCGTTGGCCGACGCGATCCTCAGAAGAACGCAACGCCACGACGCGCGAGCAGCAGATTGTTTTTATTTACGATCCATTCAGACTGTCACCGACAATCATTAAACGTCGCGATGTGGCGTCATCCAACGCTCAAACGGAGCGGAATTGGATTCGTAGGCAGGTTTGCCCAAAATTCAAGAAGACTGCCATCAAGGGGCTCTTCTCAAAGCCCCATAACAAACAGTATATGAAACTGCTTCAAATTATAAATTATAATATAAAAATATTCAAACAGTAAAAATCAACACATCAAGTAACGATTAAAACTGCTAAAATAAGCAACAAATCGTAAATAAAAAAGACGTTAACCAGTAATAATGGGTGACAAACAAATCAGTTACAAATGTAAAATGACTTGTTGAATTTTGTTATAAAATTGTTAAAGTTAAAATACGCTGGGGAAATAATTGAACGAACAACATTTCAACGCATTTGTCCTAGCAAAGGCATGCTTAAAAAATGTACTGTAAAAAGTTTATGTAAAAAGTTTAAAAAAATATATATAGGCCTAGGCCTATTGCAAATGATTTTCAATTAAAATTATGTTAGGCTAATCAAATCTTTGTGTATAGCTTAGGTTTGATAATGAAAATTTGACATTGTGAACTTTCTTCAGTGTCGTAACGCCCGTGAGATCTCGGGGGCACAGCCCCGGGCCCCACCCAGAAAGGGCCCCAGAGGAGCCTTGGGGCCCTCCTACTACTACCTAGCTCTTTACTACCAAGCCTAAACAGTCAATGCCTGTGTGCTTTCCTGGGGGTATAGTCCCAATGGGTCCCAGAGTTGCCACGGGGGCCCCTCTTATTACTACCCAGCTATAGTACTTTACTACAATGCCTTGACAATACGTTACTTTTTCTATGATTTTAAAGTGTAGAGCTGCCAGGGTCACCTTCCTACTAAGATCCAGCATTTTATTATGGACTGAATTGTTATGTTAATAGTTATTTTAATGGTTAGCCCCGTGCTCCCTGAATCTGCCCCTGATAACAATTGATTGATTGAATAAATGTTTGATAATGATTAGTTACATTGGCAACTCTTATTTGGAACCAATACATTCATGATTAAGATAGTAACCTACAGTATGCACGCTATTAAAATGCACATACGCATATACGTTGCACGCAAGTATCCAAATTAAAGACAGGTGTTGATTATATAATTGTTAAATAGTCACACGATATTTTTTGACATCGTCTAATAATTAAATAGTCTTTTCAGTCTTAACAATTATCTCTAGGGAGATTACCCACCCCGGTATACTTCGCTGATATACAAGGGCCCTTAAAACACTTTCTAGCCCCCGGGCCCCAATACTCGTGGTTACGCCACTGACTTTCTTTGAACATGTTCTAATACAGTGTCTGTAAATGACCCTTATGGAAGGGCATAAAAGCAGTTAAACTCCACATAACCAACTGATGCATTAAAAAGCTTAATAATGACATAACTGTTTCTAAAAGAAACAATGCGTCTAATGAAACCAAACATTTTGGAGGCCTTTGATGTAACATGATGAACCTGTTCACCTCATTCCAATTTACTATTATGATAACACCAAGATACCTTATGGATGATACTCGAAGTATGCAAGCAAATTTTCTGCAAGCCTAGAAAACCTACTTACGTTCATGACTCGACAGTGAAGGGTGTCATCAGCATTTTGGGGAATAAATGATGAGATCGAGTCCGACAAGTCAATTATAAACAAATTACACAACTAAGGCCCCAGGACTGATTCTTGGGGAACTCCAGAAGTAACTTAAATACGACTAGAAATCCTCCCCCCACGTAATTGACTGACTTTAGGCCAACGTAGAACAAAGCTAGAAATTGCCAAACATTGCCCTGGATACCATAATTATAGAGGGACTAAGTAATTTCTTATGATCTACTCTATCAAACGCTTTGGAAGAATACAGAAAATGGCATCGGTAAGTGGGGGATGGCGCTCAAGTGTTACTGGGTTGTTTAAATTGACTAATTTTAAAATGTATGATTTGTATCGAATAGTCAGTTGGCTTACTCAACGATTTTAACGAGACATCAGCCTTCCATAGCATATCGCCCTCTACGAAAAAGCAGTGAACCATTTTAACGTTACGATACTAGTCATTCATATTCAGGCACACACGTACACCCCAAAGCCAAAGTCTGTTTAAATAATGTAAGATTAAATGATAGGTGAGAAAAAAAAAATAGCCGCTCTTTATACAATTCATTTGAAATAAATCATTAATTTGTATAAATAATGTACACTCAAGTACCGCCGTAAATTAATTAAAATCACACACTCTAGTATTAGTAGCTCTATTATATACGAAAAACATAGCTGGTCTACTGCCCAATGCCTTAATATCTTGTTTATCTGTAAATACTATATCATATAATGGTAGAATAATATAGCGCATCATGGCCCCTATGCGCTTCAAACGGTTAACCCGGACATTGGATTAAACATACCTATGGGACACAAACATAATCACTCCCATCCCTCCTCTCCCCTCTGGGGAGCATCCCATAACGTTGCAGCAGAATTATAATTATAGTGCTGTCTTTGAAACTTCAGTATTTGGAAACTGACTTCATTATGAATCGATAATTGTAGACTTATATTATAAAATCACTTATAAAATCATATTATATAATATGCTTAATGCAAAAGTAAGTTAGAAGTTCGTTTATGATTTCACACATTAATTATATTTTAATAGTCAGAAATATTAATTGAATAGCATTTTTAGGATGTATTTTTGCTGATGCGGACATAAGGAATTTGCCAGTAAGTTATAAGGTCATTATAAAATCACTTATAAAATCATATTATATAATATGCTTAATGCAAAAGTAGGTTAGAAGTTCGTTTATGATTTCACACATTAATTATATTTTAATAGTCAGAAATATTAATTGAATAGCATTTTTAGGATGTATTTTTGCTGATGCGGAAATAAGGAATTTGCCAGTAAGTTAGAAGGTCAACTGGGCCCCGGGATGACACTATTATCGTACCTTAGAAAAGTTAACAGGGACGTGGAAGGATACAATTACTTGAGTGATCAATAGACGTAATTAAGTTCAAGTTAGAGGCTAACTTCCTTCATCAACACTGACAATCAGGAGCTTGGTACTTGCGCGTAAACTGTCGATTTATGTACCATGTATGTATTATAAGCCTACTCAATATTATAATAAATGAAAGTGTTTTTCTTTTTGCTGTATTCAGTAAAGTTTATTTATTTTAAATTTGTATGTATGTATGTATGTATATATATATACATATATATATATTATATATATATATATATATATATATTATCACTTTAACATCTCAACTTAAACAATAACATATGGTGTCCAAAGGCCAAATTGCATGTTATTTACAATATACATGTTGTATTACATATAATTCACAATTCGTTATAAAAAGGATCTATATTATTAAAATACAGTTAAAATATTAAAACATAAGAAAAATTTAAAAAAAATTTGAAAAATTGAAATAACAATAAAATTACAACCAATAATTTGAGCAAGTGAAAAATAAAAAGAGGGGGCATCTCACCTTGTCATGGTTGCTGTTGGTTAATAAGTTTGATGTAATAGGAAATTGGGCTATTTAAGAGAAGCGTTTCTTTTAGAATTAAGTTGGGTAATATTTTCAAAAAGGGTTGGGGAATGAGGTCAAAAGAATGATTCGTGAGGCTTTTTGTGTTGTAAACTTGAGACACTACGTCTGTGACACCTTAGCAGATTTTCAGCAAATAATACTTATTAGTTTTGAACATAATTGAAATTATTATTATAATATTAATATATATTTTATATTAATATTACTATTATTATTATTAACTCGTATACAATCTTCTGAAGTAAAAATGGATATAAGCAAAGTTACAAATCTTAACAAGACAGAAGGGCGTCACATCATTAACCAAAAACACACGCTAAAACTAAAACAGTGTTATTGTTTTATAACGGTTATCCACTTGATTTTAAATGCAGTGTTTTAGGCTTAAAATAAATTCAAAGTCGTTTTTAGATAGCAATGAAATTACCAGAGCCTGGTCTGTATAAACCAATAAGTTATCTATGTTGAGTCATAGAGAGGGCGGAAACCTGAATAGCACCGACCGCTAGCTTTGTCTTATTCATGTCCTGCAGCAACTAGGACAAACGGGGGAAAATTAAATGGATGCATCAGAGAATTAAAAAAAAAAAAAATTGGAGAATCAATGGAGAAGGAAGAGTTCACTCTGCACATTCGAACAGCTCCATCTGTTTAAAATTAAATAGTTATTAAACATATTTTTTAATTTCTTTTTCTTTTGCAAAATATGTTCACGTAAATGGTGACCTGTGAATACCATGTGCCTGCTTTGGATGGCACTGGTATTACCTATTTTGTATACTGTATATCAAAAATGTACTCTCAGTCAAAAGACAGGGAAATACATCAACAAATCAAATAAAAGTTTAAATATCTCATTTAAAGAGATTAGATAAACTATTAGCTTCCACCAAGAAACAGGTGGAAAATTATTTTCACCGATTTACAGACATTTCACTAAAAAAATCTTAATTCGATTACCAAATATAAGGATTTTTTCTTTGTAAAATGTCTGTACTCTGTAAATCAAAGAAAACACATTTTTCAATCTGTTTCTTAGTGGAAGCGAATAAGTTACTTAAATATATTAAATGAGCTATTCATTTTTTCCTATTTTTGCGGGGTTTGTTTCCCTGTATTTTGACAGTTCCATGGAAAGCGTAGCTTCACGAAGTGCTCTCAACGGATCATTTTTAATGACGATTCGTTCAGACTGCCACCGACGATCAGGGATCAGGTGTCTTGATTTACAGGGAGCGGAATTGGTGACTGCCCCGATTTAGTCTAATTTCTAGTTTCATTTGGCTTAGTCATGAGAAAAAATGCTGCTGTCATAGGAATTGAACCCAGGACCACTGTTGGGATCGGAAGGCAATCATCTACCACCAAGCTATTCAACTCCACTTCTTCATTTATGCTCACCATCTACACTTTCCTCTCTGTACATCTTTGATTTTCTCTATAATTCTGTAAATGATAACGCGTATAGAAATGATTTACCGTACACCATTTTTACGTAAATAACAACAACACCAGCAGCAGAAGCAACAACAACACAAGCAACAACAACAACAATAACAATAATAATAATAATAATAACAACAACAACAACAATAACAATAATAATAACAATAACAATAATAATAATAATAATAATGATTATGATAATGATGATGATGATGATTATGATGATGATGATAATAACTGTTAAGGACAAATTTCGTTGACGGGCTGTGCCTGGTACGTTTATAACATCACTTTTGTTCAT